ACACACACACACACACACACACACAAAGAATTAATCTCGAGGAAACCTTGGTCCTGCATTGCTCTGTCTGATGCTGTCTCAGGCAGTTGTGGGTGTTTTTCCGTGGGGTATAAAGTTGTGTCGAGCCACACCAGGGAGGTCATAGCTGCTCCCAAAGAGACCAGCAGGAGCCCTGGTTGTGCTTTTAGGGGCTGGAGGAGCTTGCGGCGGTGAACGTAGAAGGCTTTACTTCCGAGAGCCTGGAGGTACCTTTTTTCACAACCCTAAAAGGCCAGGTGTGGAGCTCTTATACCTACACGCAGCCAGAAAACGTGCTTCAAGCCCGTTTCTTCACTGAGCATATCTTACCCTAAGTTCCCACCTTTGACTGATGCGCCTGTGTTGATGTCATTTTCCACTCAGGATTACCCTTCTGGTCATTCGAATTTGATTTCACCTGGGCAAGAGCCATTTTGGTGCTAAGAGGTTTGGGGCTGGGGAGAAGGGGTGACTGGGAGGTGGAGGAGCACAGGCTCAGGTAAAAGCAGGAACAAAATTTAGGGGAACCACCTCCAAACCGGAATTCGTCTTGCTCCCACAGCTCCTTGGAGGTGAAATGCTCCCTGTGTGTGGTGGGGATCCAGGCCCTGGCAGAAATGGATCGGTGGCGGGAAGTCCTCTCCTGGGTCCTTCAGTATTACCAGGTCCCTGAAAAGCTTCCCGCCAAAGTCCTGGAACTGTGGTAGGTCCTTGTTGCTGACACTGGATTGGTGCAGGCATGAGAAGATTTTCCTGTCCTCTCCTGAACCAGGGCTAATACTTCTCTTTTCCCTTTCCCTGCTGTTTCCCTCCAAATAAATGAAGCCCTGGCTAGTTCTCACCCTTTTTTCAGACCTCAGAACATAGCAATAAAGGATAAGGAAGAGGGAATTTATGAGTGGGACAGAGAAAAAAAAGGGAGAGAGGACACGGAATAATGAAGTGGAGTAACAATTGGACAGAGCTGAGAGTGCTGCTACTCCTTAGGCATTCTTAATTCTTTTTCTTGAGTCAGGGTCTTGCTATGTAGTTCAGGCTGGGCCTCGGACTCACTGAGTAGTCCAGGCTGACCTTCACACTGCAGAGAACCTCCTGCCTCAGCCTCCTAAGTATTGGGATTATAGGCGTGTGCCACCACACCTGGCTAATAACAGTCCCTAATTCTTAACAGTGTCAGCATTCCATAGGGAAGGACATGGGGTTGGCGGGGGGTAGGTAGGAAAGGTATGGTCAGTATGAAAAATGAATGAACTGTGGAGCCCTGACTTTTCTTTTTGGGGGGGATTGGATTATTTGGGGATGCAGCATTCTTTTATACAGCAAAATGCAAGAGCCTGGAGCCATGCTGGAGGTGGCCAGCGCCTGGCTCCAAGACGCAGACAATCAAGGCCTTCCGGAATATGGAGTCTTGGCTGAGCTCCACCTGCAGCGGGTGCTGCTGCCTCTGGGCCGCTTGTCAGAGGCAGAGGAGCTGGTGGTGGGCTCCGCAGCCTTTGGTGAGGAGCGGCGGCTAGAAGTGCTCCAGGCCGTTCACACCGTGAGGCAACAGCAGAACAGCACAGAACAAAGACAGGAGCGCTCGGGCTTCCAGGAGGTGCCAAAGATAAACCAAGAAGGTAGGACACCGTGGAGTGGAGCTGTGGGCTTTCCGTATACCTTGGTTTGTTTGTTTGTAGTCTTTTTGAGACAGGGTCTCACTATGCAGTTCAGGCTGGCCTTGAGCTCACTTTGTAGCCCAGGCTGGTCTTGAACTCGCAAAGATCCTCCTGTCTCAGCCTTCCGAGTGCTGGGATTACAGGTGCGCCCCACTATGCCCTTTCCATACACGTTGGGTCCTTCAAGGCTTTCCTGAGCACTTGGACGCAATTCTTTGTATGACCAACTGTTTCACTGTCGATTAGGGCACCTGCTGAGTTGCTTGACAAAGCCAGGCCAGACCTTCTGAAGTTGGCAGCGGAAGGAGAAGCCCGGTTGGGGAGGTGGTGCTGGGTCTCCAGACCATGACCCTCGTCTCCTGAATGTCACCTTACTTTTAGGGTCTGATCAGTCGTCTCCTTGGGGTCCTCTCACTAGATCTGTTGTTTCCACTGTGCTGGCCCCACTGTGGGCCCAGCTGAGACGAGCTTAGGGTTAGAAAGAAACCAACACTCGCTTGGTAACTTAACTGAGGAAATAAAAATGACTTATCCTCAGTTTTGGTGCCTGTGCCAGCGTCCTGTCTGCCCTCACCTCACCGGGAGCTTTTGAGTGGCTTTTCAGCCGAGCTCCGCCCTGCCAGTCAGCTTGCGGTTCTACTCAGTGACTTGGTGCTAGCGTCATCTGAGAGGCTCCTGCGCAGAGTGGGTGTGGGGGTTGCTCTGTCCCGAGGGATGTTATGTATTTGTTTATTTATTAGAGAAAAGGATGTTTATTTCTGTCAAACAACCATAACATGTGCCAAGTACCCATGAATCAAAGTGAGGACAGTTGTGCCAGCGCAGTGATCTCAGGCTTGGAAGCACGATGCAGCCCCCTCTGCTGTCACCACCTCCTCCATGGCGTGGCTGCGTGTTCCCCATTCAGTGCCCTGGGACAGTCTGAAAAGTGTGCATGAGGGAGTCTGTGCGTGTTTGTATGGAAAGCAGCAGTTGTTGTCCCCCCACCCCCCTCCCTGTAGCAAAGGTCACAGAGTAACAGCCTGCGTCACCTGCTTATGGCAGTTGAAATGATTCTGGAAACCAAATAATACTAACAACCACCATGGTACTATTTGAAAGCTTTCCAGTTGTTTTCACAGATGTACATGACTTCATTTTCTCTTTGATTATCCCCCCACCACCTTCTTTTAAAGGCAGGGTCTCGCTAATGTAGTTCAGGCTGGCTTTTAACTCACTGTGTAGACCAGGCTGGCCTCAAACTCATGGCAATCCTCCTGCCTCAGCCTCCCAAATGCTGGGCTTACAGGCGTGCACCACCATGCCTGGCTGATTATCCCCATTTAACTATGGATGACTTGTGGCTAATACACTGCTAGTTAGAAGACAGGGTGTATGAAATATACAGGGAAATCTCCCAGTTCAGTGGTCACAAAGGTAGAATCAAAATTGCAAACTATTTACCTCTCATCCTTATTTTCTTTTAAAACCATCTATTGTTAATTTTCTTTTAAAACCATCTATTGTTAATGCTTACAAAATTACAAATAGTTTAGAGTACACTAAGAAACTGATATTAATTTTTATTTAGAAAAATCATTGTAAGAGAATTTATTAATTAACCACTCACAGATATCTTGAAATTTTGTGGAAAAGCCAAATAGATCCCGGTTTCTTTACTTTGGACAGATCCTCCTTTTCTAAATTCACCTCCATCATAAATACTTGCCAGGCTAGGCTTGGTGGTGCACACATGTAGTCCCAGCACTCAGGAGGCTGAGGCAGGAGGATCGCTATGAACTCAAGGCCTGCCTGGGTTACATGGTGAGTCCAAGGCCAGCCTGAGCTGCATAGCGATACCCTGTCTCAAAACAAAAACAAAAACCAAACAAAAAGTACTTGCCAGGACCAGCAGTTTATCCTCCTGAGTTTTTCGGTTTTCTGATGACTGAATTTTCTGTTAACAACCGAGAGGAAAGGATACTAGCACCATCGCCTGTGTTTCAGTTCCGTTTGAAATTTGTGCAGGGCTTTCCCGGCAGGCCCCACGAGGCACCTGCACACTCTGTGACCTTCCAGAGAGAACGGGGTCTGG